ACGTGGTCACCTTAAGATGGATTAAAGGTCACGCCACATCGAAAAGTAAACGTCTTGCTGATTCACTAGTCAAGAAAGCAGCCAACCAAATACTTTTTGGACCTGGCCCTTCTGGCCTGACAAAATCGGTAGTGACAGACCTAATCAAAGAACATTCCCTTATGAAATTCAAGGAAAGATAGGATGAAACAAAAAACTGCAGAGTTGACAGGGAGCTCTTAAATTATCCTGACAACACTGCAGCAAATAAATACTTGACTATGACTAGACAGAATCTGCACCTAGTCACAGGCATTCTGACTGGTTATTGCCAAGTACGAAAGTATCTTCATATCATGGGGCTGTCAGAATCCGCACTCTGCAGAGGGTAGGTGCGAACAAGAAGATGAGACCATCGAGCATATCCTTTACAATTGCTCGACGCTCTCATTTATTAAAAGATTTGTGTTCGACGAGTTTCGGATAACACCGGCCGATATAAGAGAAGCACCTTTTGGCGACGTTGTCAACTACATTAAATCTGTAGGCTGGCTCACGAGCTAGGAGGTGCCTATCTTCTCAGGAGGATGCACAATGGGCCTAATAAGGCCTAAGTGCCGTCCTCCACACATTACAGATACAGATGAAGAAGATGAAAACAAAAGCTAAGAAAGTGGAATCACTTTATTGATATTTTTCATTTTTTTTATTAATTTTGAAATGTCAGAAAAAGTCTATGCCTACTTGAAAATATTTAGTAATGAATGTTTTGAATAATAAAACAGATTCGGAATTTCAAATAAAATTTTAAAAATAAAATCGAAATTTAAAGTCGAAAGTTCGAGATTATAGTCGAAATTTTGAAATTAAAATCAAAATTACGAGATTAAAGTTGCAATTTCGAGATAAAAGTAAAAAATCCGAGTTTAAAGTCAAAATTCCGGATTTAAAGTCGAAATTACCAGATTAAAGTCAAAATTTTGAAATTTCACTTAAAATTCCAAGTTTGAAGTCTATATTTGGAAAATAAAATCAAAATTCCGAATATAAAGTTAAAATTCTGGATTTAAAGTCTAAATTTCGAGAATAAATTCAAAATTTCGAGATTAAAGTCAAAATTTCAAGATTAAAGTTAAAATTTCGTAATAAAAGTTGAAATTTCGAAATAAAAGTGAATATTCCGGGATTGATGTCAACATTAAACTCTAAATTTCTAGACTTCAACTCTAAATTTCCAGACATAAACTCTAAATTTATGAGATTTTAGTTGAAATTCTGAGTTTTAAGTCTATATTTCGAGAATAAAATTGAAATTCCGAGTTTAAAATCGAAAGTTCGAGATTAAAGTCTAAATTTTTAGATTTAAACTCTAAATTTCTAGATTTAAAGTCAAAATTTTGAAATTTCAATTGAAATTCCGAGTTTGAAGTCGAAATTTCGAGATTTAAAGTAAAAATTTCGAGATTGAAGTTAAAATTACGAAATTAAAGTTAAAATTTTAAGGTAAATGTCAAAAGTACGTGTTAAAAGTCAAAATTCCGGGTTTAAAGTCAAAATTTCATGAATAAAGTCAAAATTTTGAGATTTTACTTGAAATTCAAAGTTTGAAGTCTTTATTTCAAGAATAAAATCGAAATTCCAGGTTTAAAGTCAAAATTCCGGATTTAATGTCTCAATTTCGAGAATAAAGATAAAATTTCGAGAATAAAGTCAAAACTTTGAGATTAAAGAAAAAATTACGAAATTAAAGTCGAAATTTTGAGATAATAGTCAAAATTCCGAGTTAAAAATCGAAATTTCAAATTAAAATAAAAATTACGAATTTAAAATCAAAATTTGTAGATTAAAATCGAAAAATAAAAAATTTATTATATGGCCATTCCACGCCTTCGTACGTTACAATATCAACGATCAGCGAAATCTATTTCTGTACTTATTTTACTTTGCATTCCTTGTTCACAGATTGAAGTGGTGATGCATATAATTTTAACTTATACTTATAGCAATTCTCGGTATAAAATTTTATCGCTAACCTGTAAATAAAGTAATAAATATAAGTGAACTAAAAACTGAGCGTCGTTTTCTCCATTTCTCGTTCCTTTCTCAGCTCAGAACACGCTATTTTTACAACTAAGGATTACGGTTGTTAGATAAGAGTTTCCACTGTTTGGGATTTTGAAGCAGAGCCGTTTTAAATTTTTTGAAAAAGGAATAAACTTTGTTTGTGTTCTTTTATTTAAAGTATTTTAATGGAAAAAATCCTCCACAACATAAACTATAATTTTTAACGAACGAAAATCTCGTTTTTATTGTAGTGCCTAGTTTCTGGCGCAAGAAACTAGGGGTAGTTGCTCACCATTTAATGATATATTGATCTTATTAGTGCATCTACGTTTAGCGGGTACACGCCCAAACAGTTGTACTTCAGACTTTGATAGATTAATATCTAAACAATATTTTTCTGATAAGCTCTTAAGTGCTAATAAATAATTATTATTCAAAATGTTGACTTTAATCTTGTAATTTAGACTTTAAATCCGGAATTTTGACTTTAAATCCGGACATTTGACTTTTATCTAGAAATTAATCTCGTAATGTTGATTTTTATTTCAAAATTTCGACTATAATTTCGAACTTTCGACTTTAAACTTGAAATTTCGATTTTATTTTTAAAGTTGTCTACGCCTATGCCGTCTAAGAACGATTGATTTCCAGAGGTTTTGAAGTGACACTGAATGTTTGATGGCCGAACGTTAGTGAGGCCGACAATTTCAGACGAGCCACAAAAAGTGCTTTTGCTCCGAATGAAACATGCTATTTTTTCCGCAAACGGCATCCAGACTATAGAACTAATTAAAATATTTAAATAAAAATTCAAAACGATTGCAACGAAGTTGATAAATTCAGAGAATAATAATTATAAAACTGCGCACTACATTTCCGTGGTTACTGGTTTTGTGATTGCCAAGTCAAAAACAAATTTGACAGTTCAATAATATTTTATAATGTCAGAAATATTGTAAGTGATTTAAAGCAACAATTGGACTGTGCATTTTTGGTAAGTACTTGAGCATCAAAATTTCGTTTGTTGTAGTAAAGTGTACTGAAATTTTCTTTTAGATTATATTACGTCGGATTCAGAACCCAACTGTACACCGCCCGACGTTGTTGACATTGCTAAGGCAGCTACGAATGATTTAATTCCAACTAAGTCAAGTAGAGTTTATAATCATGCTTACGAAAGATTTCTCACATGGTGCAATGATAAAAACATTTCAAACTATTCGGAAAATGTGCTACTAGCTTATTTTTTTGAAATGACAACTAAATTAAAAATGAAGAGTTCAACAATGTGGTCTCAGTATTCCATGATAAAATCATTACTGAATATTAAACATGGATTAGATATTAGCAAATATATAAAACTACGTGCTTATCTGAAGAAGCAGAATGAAGGGTATACTCCCCAAAAGTCAAAGGTATTCACAAAAGACCAGTTTGAAGATTTTTTAAATAATGCACCTAATGAGCAATATCTAGGAATTAAGGTTAGTTATAATATTCTAACCTGCATAAATACAATCAAGTTTTTAAATACATACTACTTTTAGGTTGTTCTAATAATGGGCGTATCTGGAGCATGTAGATGCGATGAAATGGTGAACATGACAATAGACGATATAAAAGATTTAGGATCTGTTATTCATATAAAGATTCCTGATAGTAAATCTAAAAAGCCACGATCGTTCACAATTATTGGAGAAAAATATATAAATCTTTACAGAAAATATACTTCTTTACGTCCACAAGCTATGGAAAGCCGACGCTTTTTTTTGAAATTTCAAAAGGGAAAATGTTATCGCATGGTCATGGGAATTCATACAATTAGTAACGTACCCAAAACAGTAGCAACTTATTTAAAACTACCGAATTCAAAAGATTACACCGGCCATGCGTTAAGAAGAACTTCAGCTACTTTGCTTGTGGATGGAGGAGCTGATATTACTTGTTTGAAACGGCATGGAGGTTGGAGGTCGAGCACTGTCGCTGAAGGATACATTGAAGACTCTTTGTCTAATAAAAAACAAACTGCAGAAAAAATCTTGATGTCGAATTCTTCTTCACTGTACCTGAATGCAGCTTCTCATGAGCGAAATTATGTCGACGTTGATGTAACAGAAGCAACAACAAGTAAGGAGTCACGGGAAATTTTGTCGATGAACTCTTTCAACTCTGCACAAAATTCGCTTGAATTGGAAGTGAATAAATCAGGTAGTGCATTAAATATGTGCGGTGCAACCTTAAATAACTGTAATTTTACTATTAATAATTATTATCGTTAATAAAGTTTAAAAGTTCAACTAATAATTATTTTCCCTGTTAAAAATTCTACTTTTTTGTACGGTCGTCAGCGTACAAAAAAGTACTTTTTTGTCCGCTCACGGCCGTACAAAAAAGTGGCGTCTGTGAAATCATACTTCAACATCATGAATTGACGTTAATAATGTCTACTTTTTTTGACGTTTGCGGAAAAAGAATTTTAAATAAGTACAGTCCACAGTCAATGCTCTACAATCAACAAAAGTATACACTTCATATTCGGAATTTCAAGTAAAATCTCAAAATTTTTACTTTAATACTAGAAATGTAGAGTTTAATCTCAAAATTTCAATTGTAATCTTGACTTTAAATGAGGAATTTTGACTTTAAACCCAAAATACTGACTGCTCTCGAAATTTTTTCTTGAAATTTAGACTTTAATCTTAAAATTTTTGTGAAAGGAAGGTGTTGAACGATAAATATTAACATATCTGTCATCTAAGTCAAACGTCAACATTTTTAAATATTTATAGAGTTTGAACTAGCGTACGTTACTCCAGTGAGATTTTAATCATATCGAAATGTGAGGTTAATTAGACCACAATGAAATAAAGTAAACTTATAATTTTTATGTGTAAAAACCGATAAGGATTGAATTGTATTACTGGTGAGACAATTTAAAATATCTTTAAACTACATACTTGTAAAAATTGCGATCCACAGCTCCGGCGAAAAAGGCAACAGAAACGCCATCAGCGGTATCTCGGACTTCTGCTGCGGAGCCGCCAAAAAACTTACACCGCTGAAGAAATACGGTACGCTGAAATCGATCACTTCGCTGCGCGTGCTGGATACGCTGAGACCGGCGAATGACATGTGAGCCGCGCCTGATACAAGATCACCCATGATTCCGTTCCATATGATGTCTACTTCATCTGGGTTCAGTTCTTTGATGCGATCTGTTTTCATGTGATCATCTTTAAATCTGAAATGAATATAAAGGTATTTTTGAAACATAGGATTTATGTACACTATTGCTAAATATATAAAGGATGATTCAAAATAGACGCAAAATTTTTTTGTCCGAAAAAGTAAGCAAAGTTTGTAGAATTTTTGGTCGACCAAATGCGCCAGTTAAGAGACTGATCGATAAATTTATTTGAACTGACTCAAACAGATGATGCGAGAAAATTCTATCACCAATTTCTCTAAATAGACCAGGGTCGATAATTTTTAAAACCAAACAAAATAATAGTCCTATGAAAAAAAGTAAAGTTGTAGGTAATAAAAAGATCTACAACTTTTGTATTTGCACTTTTTTCACATAACCTCAAAGTTTATGTGAAAAATTCAAATAACCAAGTTTTTGGTTTTTTATTTTTGTCTTTTACAAAAAAAAAATTTTTTTATGAAATTTGGTGAAAATTTACCTATTTATGTCCTTAATACACTGTAATTTTTTTGATTTAAAATATTTATTTTTTTCACCTTATTTTGACTTAATATCGAAGAAGCACTCTAATTTTCAATCGAAAATTCTCCCATCAAAATATCTGCTTTTTTAAAAAAAGTCAGTGGGCCTTACTTTCTGATAATGTAAAAAAATATATACATTTCTTTTAAATATTATGTACAATTTTGAGCTATTTATTAAAATATTAATTACTCGAAAAACGTAAGATTCCATGCTATATTGATATAATCAAAAAAATTCAAAAACGAAATATACTACTATAATAAAATAAGTTAATAAAGTTAATGAAGTTAATATTTAATAAGACATCTGCAATATTTTGAGAAACAGGATGTAACAGTTTAAAATGTGGCTGCCAAAAACAAATTAGTCCCGGGCATTTAGCAAAAATAGCGGAAATTTTGACATACCACAGATATCGAGATGCGGTTTCCTGCATTGTGTTGGGGAAGGTCCCAGAAAAGACTGGTGAAAATGTGGGTATGCAGTTTTTTGAAAAACGCCTTCTGGGCCGGAAAATGCATTTTCCAATTGCATCATTATTTGTGCCGTTATGGGAGCGATTGTAAACGCGGAAAAATCGCTCGGAAATTGTTACTCGGGGGTTTTCGGGGCTGCCGAACTCCATTCTGGCATTAGAATTACCCGCGAGTGCACGGGGGCGGATCTGTGGGGGTGCGCGGGGGGTGAATTGGGGGAGGAATGACAGCGTGCATGAGAATCGCTCCAAACTCGGACCTCGGGGGTTTTTGGGGATGCTGAATTCAATTCTGGCATTGGAATTACTCGGGGGCGCTTAGGAGCGCCTCTGCAGGGGTGTCCGGGGGTTCATTCTGGGGGGAAATCGCATAGTCCATGTAAATGGATCCAAAATCGTTACTCGGGGGTTTTTGGGGATGTTAAATTGAATTCTGGCATTGGAATTACCCGGGAGCGCTCAGGGGCGCCTCTGCAGGGGTGTCCGGGGGTTCATTCTGGGGGGGAAATCGCATAGTCCATGTAAATGGGTCCAAAATTGTTACTCGGGGGGTTTTCGGGGATTCTGAATTCAATTCTGGCATCGGAATATCCGGGGCGCTCAGGGGTGGCTTTGTGGGGGTGTGCGGGGGATGAATTGGGACAGGAATCGCAGCGTGCATGAAAATCGCTCCAAACTCGTGACTCGGGGGGTTTTCGGGGATTCTGAATTCAATTCTGGCACTGGAATTACTCGGGAGCACTCAGGGGCGCCTCTGCAGGGGTCCGGGGGTTCATTCTGGGAGGGGGTAATTGCATAGTCCATGTAAATGGCTCCGAAATCGTTTTTCGGGGGTTTTCGGGGATGCTGAATTCAATTCTGGCATTGGAATATCCGGGGCGCTCAGGGGTGGCTAGGAAATGGTAAAGCAGCAAGTGGAAAATTACAAATTATCAACATAACTCTTTATTCAAATAACAAATAGAAGTTTTTATTAGTCTTGAATTATTCATTATAAACTCAAATTTTCAACTTAAGACCTAAACATCTTGTTCAAACTCTTCTTCTTCTTCCCGTTCTTCTCCTTCTTCCCCTTCGTCATTTTCTTCCCCTCCTTCATCTTCTTCCTCGGTGCAAGCGTGAAAGCAAAAAGATTCAAGAACAGCAGAAAAGTTATAAGTCTAGAACTGGAAAAGTGATGCCAGCAAAAGAGACGGGACCACCTCGTCCAAAAAAATGTGTACTTGCATGTTCCAAGATAATTTCTGAAAATGATAAAGCTCAGCTTTTTAAAGAATATTGGAGATTGCCTCATTACAAACGCAGCGAGATTTCTTAGGTTCATGTATTGAAGAACGTCAACTTAATTATAGACGAATCTACGCTGGAAAACCTCTGAAGCCAAATTGTGCTTTTACCTTACAATTAACAGAAAAAAAATCGCGAATGTAAACCTTTTTTAATTGGTACCTTTGGAATAACTGAAAGAAAACTGCGAACAGTTATCGCGTCTAGAGCATCAGGTAATTTAATTGTCGTTAAGGATAACATGGCAAACATAGAAAGGCAGATAAAGAAATAGTAAAGTCAGTACGAGACCATATCGATGGTATTCCTGAATTACATAAACGCTATTCAAGCGAAAGATTATCTGCGTCCAAAACAGCTACAACCTATGATATGTATGCGAGAATATTCAATACAGAATGCAATATAGGATTTTTTATACCACCGAGAGATCAGTGTGGCCTTTGTGAGGTGTATAAAAATTCAGTTGGTAAGTTTTGGAAAATAAATATCATAAAAATTTAGTGGAAAAAGAATTAAGCCGAGAAGAAAAAGATAGGGATAAGGGAAGAGCCAAAAACATAGAAGTTCCATTAGCCTTGCACGATCTACAGGCTTGTATTATCTGTTTCAACCTTTTTTTATAAAAGCCTGCTTAACTGCCATAACTTCACCGTAAGTTAAAAAAAATCCCTATACAGAAAAGACGTCTTATTAAAATTCAACCTATAAAGAACATTGTAATAAAACCTAATTTAAAAAGTTTGGTTGATGGTAAAATTGTTCCCGAGTTTTATAAGCATTTTTTGATTCCATGGATTCCATGGAACTGAACCTTCTAGAATATGCTTGTGTTATTTGGAGCCCAAATTATGTTATTCATATTTCCGCTTTGGAACGAGTGCAAAGAAGATATTTTAAGTCGGCTTCTCATATTTTGGACGGTCTCTATCCCGTTAGAGGCACACCTCAAGAACACTTTTATATTCGTTTTGATAGCTGTAGTTTAATTCATTCGTAATGTTTTTTATGAATGGCCACGTAAGACAAATATTTACAAATTTTTACCGTAAAACATTCTTTGGGGTAATTTGTAGGAAGGACAGATGCCCAGAATTTGGTCAATAGTTTTATATGTACCTATATGTAACCTTAGATCGTAGCTGCATATGTGTGCTTAAGTTTTTCCCTAAAGGGTTTTTCCAGTAACCATTCATGTATAGCTTAACAAATATTGTATTATTTTTTTTATTTCTGTATTTTCCTGTGTTTGTCCTAATCCTGTAATTGGACTTTCTTGAGGATATTGTAATAAAATAAATAAATAAAAGAGTGTTTTAGCAGTATATTGATTGCTAATATTTGTTGGATGTATTTTCCGATTCTTGAACTCCCAAAGTGAAAAAGTCTACTTTAGAAAGTAATATTTGAAAAAGATATTTTTGGGCCCTTATTATTTTTTTTTCAAACAATGTTTAAATGATCATCAAAAACAAATACTGGCTTTAAATAAAAAGTCTTGACCTAGTTTACAATACATTATTTGTAGTCCTAAATCATCACCTTGGTTTTTTTTGTAAAATATCGTTTTTGTAAGGTGAACAGAAAATTGGATGAAAAAGAAAAAGCGAAAATTAAGAGCATCACTTCTCAGATATTAAAGTTGTAGTTTAGAAGTTGGATTTTTATTGTCGTGGATTTTGTGCCAAGAGTTCCAAGTAAATTATTACACTCATAGTCGTGGCAGAAAATATATAGAACTAAAGAAAATATATTTACGTCACGGCTCGTTTTCTGCAAGAACAAGTTTAATTACAAAAAGTCAAGCTCTGGCATTTAATTTGTATTAGAACAGAATAAGGGAAGAGAAAATGGTAAACAAATTATTTTATATAAACAAAAAAATACGTATTAGAAAGCTTTTTAACAGCTTCTTTTTAATTTATAAATTAAATTCAGGACAAAATATTGTGAATCTAATAATTTTACATACCTATAACTTAGAAATTTTTTCCCCACATCTCTTTCTGTCCGTTTGTGCTTTTTCCTAACTGTTCTTGAACCAAAAAGTCCATCTGCAGCTATATATAACCTGAAACAATCAATAAATGCATGAAATAAATGTTTAAATATGTTCGACACATTAATACAGAGTAACCATTTCCATATTTGTTGGTCTTTTACAGAGAAAACGTGGTACCAAATAATTTATTTACATGTAAACGTAAATCAATTGTTCTACTTAAAATGATGTATATAAAACCTCAGATAAAAAAAGTAATAATAGATAACTAACGGTCTGGATCTGTTTGAAGCCAGTATAAACCATTTTTTCTCCTTGTTTTTTGATATTATTCGTCTGTCTTTAATACCAGCGCCAAAAAATTTTCACAACTGTCAACAAGCACTAGGAAACTGTCAGTTTTGTTTGTACATTTTGTATCATTTTATATTCACAGGGCATATTTTTAACGTTTTTATAAAATTGTTATTTATGATAAAAAAATCTTTTAGTTTATTTAAACAAAAATAAAACCTGAATCGATAACTGTTTCTTACCTAAAATCGAATTCTAACTCTTGAGCAACGTTTTCTAGGAGATCCATGGCCAATCCATAACAGCAATTCGTTTTATACTTAAATTTTTGAAACGGAAAAAATCGTTCATCATCGTATTCGCTAGTGAACTGTTTGTAGTCTGTATATTGCGGATTGTTATTTTCGGCGTCTTCTTCCTCATCTTCTAACCGTTGCATTTCGTTGAAAACTAGGGTGAGGTTGTCTTTGTCTGATGTAAGAACCCGGTGACATGGAAGACCTGAAACAAAACGGTTGGTTATATTTATGTTGGTATATGGGTCTAAGTTACTAGATTTTTTCAAGACCATAAAAGGCTTGACGTCGACAGTGTTGCTAGGATCAAACGGTGGCAAATCACATACTTTGATTACTGTACGGTGCAAAAGAGACGTCCGATACACCCAAGATAGGGCGCGGCCATTTTGATGCAATTACTACTAAGTTCCAAAATGTTAAACTGGTAACCTACATCTTGGTATTTTGAGATTTTAAATAACATACAAGAAACTTCTTTAAAGTAAAGTTATAATTGCGAGGGCATCTTTAAATAGAGGCCAATGGTTTTCAATTTTTTTTAAAGCTATGCATATGATTTTACCTTAATATTATGATATTTTTCACCAGACTCATGCCCGTGAACAAAAATTTACTTTATTTCTGTAATGAGGTTACACAATCTAATATTATATTTTGCATTTTATCAGCTGTAAATATAGTACGAAACTATAAAATAAAAACAAAGAAATGTGAAATTAAAGAAGCTCTAAAAGATATTACCAGAGAAATATACTCTTGCAGGCAAGCTGCAACAATTTAAAATATAAAAAGAATGACACTTTTATTTAAAAGTTCAAATAAAGAAATGGTGAAAATTCAGGAAAGGAAATCGAATGTAAACAAAATCAAAATATGGTAGTAAACAGGTTTTTAAAAACTAACCCAAGAACTTTTGCTTGGATATCTATAATTCACTATGGTAAACCAAAATAATAGACTTTAAATAAAAGAACAAGCAGATCCTCTATATTATTTATATGTATATTAATGATTTGGACAAAATCTTAAATAAATGTAAAATCCATCTTTTTGCAGATGATTCATTGATTTGCTATAAATGAAGTTGTAAATCAAAATACATATTCATAGGTAGATAACAATATGCTCCATAAGCAGTTTATGAATCTAAAGTTACCTGTTAAAATGAATAGAATGGGTAAATGAAATACGTAGGGTTTATATTAGGTACTGAGTTGAAATTCAACAGTCACTTATATTATATTTGTAAAAACATTGACAAAAAAAAAGGTTTCTTATTACATCTAAATAATAAATAAATAGTGTTTATTCGCATAAATATAAAACAATATAATACAATAAATAAAATAAACACTAAGAAAATCACTGAAATAACTATAAAGTTATTTGTCTGTAGAAAAATTAAAATTAACAGGTAATTTAATTATTTCAAACCACTTAAATAGATACTTATAAATTACTAAAGGCTAAAATCTACGGTCAGGTAAGTATATTTATTTTAAAATTATATTTCTTTTTTTTAGGTTATTAATGATTCTTTGTTTGTTTAAAGATTTTATAAAAATTCTTTTAAAGTTAGGTTTTATATTTACAATTTACATTTCTATATATTTATCTATTTCTATTCTAGGTATCGTGTCCATGAAAGCTTCTAATCTACGTTTAAAGGTATTTATTATGGGAGCTTCTTTTACAGTTTCCGGCAGAGAGTTAAAGGTTTTAGGCCCTAGATATTCAAAGCTTCTTCGACCAACTTTTTTGTTTTAATATGGCAGTACAAATTGATTTTTTTATCTGGTTGGATATTGATGTAAATCTGGTTTTTAAATCAGATATGTTGTTATATTGGGCAATAGCTAGTTGTTTGTAATATAATTGGTTTATATCGTAAATTTTTAAACTACTCTAGTATCTTGGATCTACATTTAATATGAGCTTTAAGAATTTCTTTTGAGACACTTCTAGGATATTTTGGTATGTTGTTGATACCCCTCCCCAACCTATGATACCCCTCCACAACCTATGATACCATAGTTGAGACGTAATTGTATAAAACTGTGACAGATAATTTTTTTTTGTTGGATAATAAGAAAGGGAGTAACTTGCTTGAATCGTAACAACAGAAATCCCAATTTTTTATAAGATAATAGATATGTTCGTCCCACCTTAAGTGTGGATCTATTACAACACCAAAATACTTAACTTTTTCTGCCCGTTTTATAGTTATGTTATCACCAATTCTCAAATCAAACTCTGAAAGAGATAAGGCCAAACTACTGAACAGTAGGTATTCTGTTTTATTTACATTCATTGATAAAGCTCTGTGGTCAAACCATTTTTTAATTCTTAATAAGTCACTTTCTACTAAAAGTTTTAATAAAAATCAATTAGAATGTTCATAAAAAATTACAGTATCATCTACGAAACTAATGAATATACCTCCTTATTTAAGAAGAAATATGTTATTTAGATAAACAGACAAGTATTAAGACATTATTCCATGAAATGTTTTGTATTTGTTGGACAAGTTTTTTATTATCAATAATTTGGTAATACTGAGGTTTATTGCGATTATTGAATATTTTTTCATAAATAACTAATTGTAGTAAGGTAGTGTGATGATCTGTTAGTGATGTTGGTATTGTAATAGGAATAAGTGTGTCAAATCTATTATTTTTTGATTTAATAAAAATATGGTCTAAGTAGGTTTTAGAATTATTTTGTACCCTAGTAGGTGTATTAATTGTTGAGAAAAACCTGTGTTCATTCATAATGCTTAGGTAGGTTTTTTTTGCACAATCAACCATTAAGTCGATATTTATATCACCTATAAAGATGCTGCAGTCGGATATTTCACTATCCTTTTGTAAAACTGCATCCAGTTGATGTAAAAAACTTTGAATATCACTGGGAACCTATAAAATGAATATACGAAAAATATATTTTTTTTAAATTTACTTTTAATTTTAATAACTTTGAACAATTTAGATCTATTGTTTCATGAAAATTATATTGATCGGTTTTTATACCATCATTTTGATTTCCCAAAATTTTATAAAGTTTTATGGCCTGGAAAGTTAAAATCTATTAAGTTCGAAATTTGCCAAGTCTCTGATAATACAATGCAATCAAACGAAGCATCTACGGTTTTTAAAAAAAGTGAAAATTCGTCAAAATGTTTTGATTTAAAATTTTAAAACTGTTATTTTATTTGTTTATTTTTAAAATCTCAGATTCTTTCGTCGCTGTTTGCAAGGGGTATGTTTCTAATTGGAAGTCCCTTACATAGGGATCCATTAAAGGTTTGTTTAATTTATTTCCAACTGATAAGAGAGATATCTAATAAAAATTATAAAATAAAAGGTACAGTTCATCAAATTTCTAGAGGCTTTCGACGGCTAGACAGAGAAAGCACTACTGACAGTCATCCCGACGGATTTACGCAATGAAAGTACACTCTGCGCATGTATTTCACTATTTCATTCAGACGTAAATGTCAGATGTAAATTTCGCTAAAACATTTCTTTTATTTTCGTTTGTGTTTTTTGCTCATTACAGTTTAATAGAACCTAAGTATGGAGTTTAATAGCAAATTAAGAGGCCGCGTGATTAACAGTCAATCTCGCGAAATAATAGCCAATGTTATAGAGTTTATGAGAAGAGAAGGAAACTTTAATTCACCTTCAATACCATTTAAAAATGTAAATGATCGTGTTGCTGCAGCCACAGGAGTGTCTAAAAACACTGTTGTCCGCATTTCTGGAGAGAAAAATAGAATCGATAACCGTGAGATATCGGAATTTTCATCACCAAGAAAAACCATTAAAAAACCAAAAACAGTTAATGATATAGATGAAGCTGCACAAGAATCAAATTTTATTTTTTTATTATTAGATAGCTATTTTTGTTTCTGAGTTGTGTTCATTTACAGGCTCAATTTTTTTCCGTTTCTCCTTTTTGATTTTATATGGGGTTTCAAGTTGTTTTTGACTTATTTCGACGTAAATCACAACAACACACTTTTTTAATAAAGCAAACAAGTGTTAAGAGGTATATGTACGTGTAAACTACAATTACAAAAAATTGATATGAAACCCATGAAACCACCAACAAAAATGTAAAGCTAGCTTCCGTACTAGAACATGGTGTCATTCGTCGAGATAATTTATCGTTTTGTTTAATAGATCAAGAAATGTAAATATTCCCCTGTTATTTTTTATAAAATTATAAGAGAAATAATTTTTTTTCTAAATAGTATAGTTTATTATTTTGTAGAAAAACAAAATTTCGAAAATTTTAGTAATGTTTCAGAAACAACCGTTATTAATAATAGGTACCATATTCCTTAATAAGGTAGAAATAAAATATAAGCTATTTCCACGATTTACAAAGGCCTACAAAAAAATTATAGGTATTTTCCGCTATCCTATAAAATTTATATTTTCTGACTCAATTTCAAAAGGTTGAAGGAATTCCAAAACACCTTTTATGGCATAATAATTATTTTCAATTCTACATACTATCTTTAGCTGCTTTTAAAAACGTTCTAAGAAAGTCCAATCAGACCAATTTAATCCCTAAACTATTCCACACTTTTAAAATTTAATTACCTAAAAATATTAAAAACTATTTAAAATAACTTGTTTAGCAGACTGTACAATAGCTATCTTAGTCACACGTAGCGCGTTCTCTGTCTGGGCGTCGAACACCTCTAGAAATTTGATGAACGTAAACGACCAAATTTAATGTTTGTTTTCTACTTACATGACCTTACAAATTTTTATTAAACTTTTCATAAGAATACTCACATACATACTCATCAAAATAATATTAGTTTAACTAAATATAAAATACTTGCTCACATAGATTTAAATTAGTTCTTTGGTGATTATACCGGGACTAAGCAATATTTTATTGGTTTAGTTTTTATTTATTTGACCGCGTTTTAGCCAACTGTTACTTTTCTCTTCTCTTGAATAACTCTTCTTTTTGAGTATTCTTCGGTTGTCCTCTTTTTTTTTGGGTTGGCTTGTGTTCTACTGTTAATTTGGTACTTTGTATTATTAGAGAGATGAGCCTCTATTTCTACTTTATTTTCACTCTCTGCTTCTGATGGTTCTAATATTTTTGCTTGATTCTCTTCTGTTCTTCCTTGATCCCAAATATTATGAGATTATTGCATTTATTTTTTCTTTCGATATA